TTTTAAATAAAATTAATTTTTTCAATACATTATTATTAGAATCTATTTAAAATAGATTTGCTTCTTTTCTGCTATAATGATCATCTAAAAATATATTTTTACAATGCATTCCGCATCTGAATTCAATAAAAACTATATATATTCGATCCTAAAAATTCCTACCAACACTTTGTTAATGCGTATGCTTTTTATATAATAGCATCTACTGGTGTCCCATTTCCAAATAAAGAAATTTTATGCAGTGACGCTGTTAAAGAATGGCATTCTATTAGAAGTAAAAAAGATGAAATTGAATCAAAAATTTGAAATTATTTGAACACTCAAATTCAAATACAGAGTTATCAACAGCTTCCACAACAATCATCTAGTGTTCAAAATTATAGTTTATCTTCATCTTCACCTGTAATAAATACAACATATACAGTATCTAATAATGCAGTGGCTCAAAAGCGAGCTATTGAACTTATAAGCGATTCTGAAAAAGAATTAACAGAGTTAAGAGCAATGGCTTGAATTACTACTAATTCTAAGCTTCGTGATGAGCTTAGTTCATGCTTAACTTCAGCTCAGAAAATAGTTGAGGAACAAGAAAAAAGGTGTATTTTAATAAATTTAAAACTTAAATATACCAACTTTATACTTAAAATTTTTTCATATTATTTTAGGCTTAAAAAACTTCAGAATCATGCATTTGCACAACATAAATCATGAGCTAAAAAATTAAAATCACTTAATGAAGACAGTGTTGTTGTAAGGTATGACTCAGTTGGCCGTCTACCTATTCTTTTTAAGTATCCAAATCTCCATGACCATATTCATAGTTCTATTGAGTTTGGAGAAGCAGATACACGAAGGAGATGTGAAATAATCAAGGTTGGAACAATAAATCAACTCAGACAATCTTTAGAAGACAATTAAAATAAATACCTGTTCGTATAGCTATGAGAATCTACACTTTACCTCGCAGTAATCGCAGCCTAAATACAAGAGCTCACCACCACACTGCTCTCATTGGAATCACAGATGTTTCTCAAGATGAAATGAAAAAACATATAGATGGACACTATTGCCTTGCCTCAGTCAAAAATGCAAAGCAATTTGCTGAAACTTTCACTGATCATGTAGTCATGATTTCTTAGAATGATAAGGCGAAAGTTTCAATAGGGATTTCTGCAGTTGGAAAGCATTTCCAAACTATGCAGACAATTCACGAGCCCGTCTCTGTTCCTGATCATGACTTTCTTATTGGAGTCTCACAAAAATTAATACCATTAGTCTACTTAATGAAGAACCCAAGTGAAACAAATGAATCATTGCAGAAAGGACGGCTATCCATCTTTATCAGAGCCCAATGGGTATTTGGTAAGCTATAATTAAATTTAATAAGGTTATAAAATAAATTTTTGGTTTTCATGCTGTTAAGATCTTGAAACATGATAATAGCTCTTTAACAAAACAAAATAAAAAAATCCACCTGGTTATTATAATTTGTAAAGTCTTGAATATATTAAAATTTGTTTAATTATAATATTGTAAATTTTAATAACCAAATTATAAAATCAAAATTTGTTTTATATTATCTAAATAATTAAACAATACATCAAAATAAAAAAATAAAATAGGGACAACATCAAGTACATATATAACAGATATACTTACCATGGTAGACAACAAGGATTTTGATAAAATTTTCAAACCTAATGAAGAAGTCAAGCCACTATGGGTCTTTCTGGTGAACAGTGGTCCAAATAAAAATCTATATTACCAAAAAAAACATTATCCAATATTGTAAACTATTCTGTTATCTTGATTTAGACTACCTAACTGTCAGGACGCATGCGTCAGGCCAATCTGCCTATAATCCTATTGAAAGAAGTATGTCAAGTCTCTCCAAGAAAGTGGCCGGTATTACACTAAAAATTGATCATTTTGGGAATTATCTAAATTCATGGGGTAATATCTGTGATTGTGAGTTGGGTATCCAGAATTTCCATCATGCTGGAGAATCTCTTGCTAATCTTTGGAGAAGAGACCCTATTTATGGCAACTCCATATTTGTAAAATATATTGATGAACTACCTATATCACTTGACAATATTAATTTTTCATAAGAAACTCAAAAAGAAAATGAGAAGGAAGACAACTTATCTGCATTATGGCCTTGGATTGAAGCCTACTATCAGATTTGCAATTACTCTCTTGATATTAGAAAGTGTGAAGACCGATCATGCTATACTCCTAAAAGAGTTGATGAAGCTACCGCCTTACTAGGTGTAAATAATGGCTTCATGCCCCCAGTAATTAAAGGAAGGGATAAACATTATCTTAATGCCATACATACATTGCAATATTTTGATAAATTTAAGATTCCTTCTTATGATCAACACCTTCAATCTTTTTCAACTGATGCATATTTAAATTGCTGCTGCACAGAATGCAACAAGTATTTCCTTACAATTGCATTTCTTGCAATATACAAAAAATATAAGCATCCAAATAAGCAAGGACGAAAACCAAAAATTAGCATTGAAAAGAGACATAACTCAGCAACAATGGAAGACTTTACTTTACCATTATCAAGCCAATACCCAATTGTATTGATTACTGAGTACCCGGTATCTGATAGGGAATAAATTTAAAAAACTTAATATTTAAAAAATAAAATAAATAAATGAAAAAAGCAATCTATCTATATATATATTACCTCTGTACTTGTAGATAAAGCAATATATTACAAACCAGTATGTAAAAGTATATAAATTTGTAGTTTTTCATGCTTGTAGGCCATTAAAACTATTCATTTGTTATATTGCTTTTAGTAGTGAAGATTTTTAATTCTTTGTACAATAAACCAAAAATTGCTGCGTAATGAAGTAACATACCCTATCAAAAGGCTAAGAGAAAAGCTTTGCTATTTAGTTTGGTATTTAATAAAAAGCTAATTATGTTTTTTTTTTAAAAAAATTTTAGATTTTAAGTACATAAGCGAAAACCTGTAACTGATCGGTATGATTAGTTGCAGGTTTTCTCTCACGCACTCATTTAATGTCTTCTGCGATACTGCCAAATTTAGATTCTAACAAAATATTATTGCAGTAAGCTTACTTATAGTTAAAAAGATAAAATAAATTTCCTTATATTGTTTTCTAAAATATTCCCTTTTCTTTAAACACGTTGTTATTTTTTGGTTCACCTCTCAGTGAATCATTCTTAAATAAGTTTCGAATATGATACAATTCTGTATGTATCTGTGAATCATTTTTAAATAAGCTTTGTATGTACATGTACAATTTTGTGTGACCTTCAATTATAATTCATATCGGACACAAATACTAATAAAAATTAGACTATATTTGGTACAAAATAAAATTGAAAGCCTGATGGCTGGTTTTTTATATACATGATATTTTGTTAGGGACCTCCCTCCCAAAAAAATTACGTAATAAAAGGCACTTCCCTTAGTATAAAAAATTCTTTATAAAACTTATCTATTATTTTAGTAATATACAGTATAATACAAAGTTGATTAGCTTGTATTAAGATTAGCATAATTTTTATCTTGTATTGCTATAAAAAATTACTTATTTATTAATATAGTAGTTAAAATTAGTATTAGTCTGTATTAAAAATTATAATTCTTATCATGAGTTACTGTAAAAAAATTTTGTTGTAGAACTTACATACAATTAAGTGACTCAATATGTAAATTAGTATTAGATTATTATAATTCTATTGTTTTACTATAAAAATTTTGCTATAAAACTTGCTATTTTAGTAAATGAAGCTATTAGTTTGTATTAAATTAACATTATAAGTTACTATAAAAATTTTATTAAAACTTATTATCCTATTAATTACATTCTGTGATTAGATAGTTTGCTTTAAAAAATTATTGTAATTTCTATTATGAGTTAGATTATTTTAAAAAATTTTATTAAAATTAATTTTGATTTCTATTATGAATTACTTGATATTCCAGTATTAATTTTATTTTAAAATTAATTTTGATTTCTATTATGAATTACTTGATATTCCAGTATTAATTTTATTTTAAAATTATTGTGATTTTTATTATAAGTTATTGCAAAATAGTCTATTACAAAACCTATATATATATTATTAATTACTATAAAAATTCTATTACAAAACTTGCTTGGTATTCTGATAGCTACAATATATACTATAGTAAAGATTCAAATTGGTTGTATTAAATGTTGAGATTTTTATTATAAAGAGTTATTATAAAAATATTGTTACAAAGTATATAATTATGATGATGCATAGTATAGATTTCACTAATATATGTAGTAAAGGTTATCCAAATTCTGGTTAATATTGAAAACATATAAATGAGAGGTTTTAAAATTAAAATCAAAGAATCTTATTTAATTTTTCTAATTTATAATTCAATATAGCAAAAATACTATTAAAAAAATCTTATTTATTTTTAAAATATACCACTTATTTATTAATTTGAAACCCCTAGTATGCAAAATTTATATTGCATAAGTTGCAATCTTATATTATTTAAGTTTCTAATTTATAATTCAATATAGTAGAAATACTATTAAAAAAATCTTACTTATTTTCAAAATATGCTACTTATTTATTAATTTTGAAACCCCTAGTATGAAAAATTTTATTGAATAAATTGCAATCTTATATTATTTGTAATTTATATAAGTGTTAGCAAATTAAATTTTATGTAGTTTATATTGCATTAAATACAAAATTCTAGCTTTACAATGTTGAAACAGCATTATTATATTATTTAATATAAATAAATGATTCAATCTAAATTACCAAATATTTTAAACTCAAAACAATATCGTATGTTCAAAATATATAAACCTTATTTTACTATAAATTGTATAGGAAACTGTGCTAATATATAACTTTGATTATTCTGTATTTTAGAATTTTCACATATTAATCATTTAATTCATAAATTGATTATAAATTTTGTTATAGCATTAATCATGCAAAGAATTAAAATATTACATTAGTTGCAAATTTGAAAATAACTATAGAAGCATTGTAATTACAGTACTCAACCTTAATTTTTTAACAAATTTGATTATATAATATTCATATCTAGCACCAATCATATTATATATATACATACTGGTTTAAAATAGCAATAGAATAAAAATATGGTTAACTTAATATAGAATTATCAGAGACTAAAATATTAGAAAAAGTGCTAAATTTATGTTAATCATCTAATAATAATCTTGTCAATAATGAAGTAGATCATATATACATTTGTACTATTTTGTATATTATTGAATTTATATGGATAGCATTAGATGGATAATGACTGTCAAGCCAGTGTAAAATAATTGGCGCAAATGAAATTTTAGTGAAGGAGTGAGTGAATATGAAGTTAACCCATATAAGGTGGTGTTTAGGAGGTAGTAGATTACATATCTTTCATTTTTGCTATCGCTCACCTTAGAAGAGACTGGTTCAATCATCACTCTCAGCACCCCAGCACTGAACAGATTAAGTCT